AAAACAATACACGACATACACTTCAGTAACATCTTTGAAGATACAGCACCCAATGCAACAATAGTGAAGGAAAGGATAAATAGATGGGACTACATCAAGTTAAAGAGCTTCTGTACAGCAAAAGAGACATTACAAAATCAGACACCCCAATGACTGGGAAAAACTTTTCTCACACAAAACTAGCAATAAAGGATTGGTCACAAAGATATAAAAAGAACTGATGAAACTCAGCAAAAATAAACAACCCCATCAAAAAATGGGCAGAAGTGTAAAAAAGACACTTCTTCAAAGAAGAAATACAGATGGCCAACAAACATAAGGAAAAAATGTTCAATATCACTTGTAATAGGGGAGATGCAAATTAAAACCACAATGAGATACCACCTCACCCCAGTGAGAATGGCACATCTTAAAGCAACTAGCAAAAACAAATGTTGGCAAGGATGTGGAAAAAAAAGGAACTCTCCTGTACTGCTGGTGGGAATGCAAACTAGTACAACCACTATGGAAAACTGTTTGGAGGTTTCTCAAACTGCTAAACATGGAGCTTCCCTATGACCCAGCAATCCCACTCCTAGGTATGACCCAGCAATCCCACTCCTAGGTATCTACCCAAAAAGACACAAAAACCCTGATTGAAAAAGATACCTACACCCCCATGTTTATTACTGCTTTATTTGCAATTGAAAAGATATCGAATCAACCCAAATGCCCAAAAGTAGATGACTGGATTAAAAAGATGTGGTACATATACACAATGGAATATTACTCAGCAATCAAAAAAGATAAACACATGCCTTTTGCAGCAACATGGATGGAGCTGGAAGGTATCATGCTTAATGAAATAAGCCAGAAAGAAAAGGAAAAATACTGGATGGTTTCACTCATAGCAGGAGTATAAAGGACCAGGGGAGAAAATAATAATGAACAAATATATACCAGAGACATTTTACAGGGGTGGAATGGAGAATGGGATCAAAAACGGTGGGGGTATAGAAATGCACTGGACTATGGTTATGTACACAGGTGATTTGATGATGGGAAGCCCACAGGGATTACAACTGAGATGGAAAAAGGCACAAATGATGTAAAAATAAACAATTATTTTTTTTAAATGAGCTCAATTCAAAATCAGAAAACTCATAACGACACAATCCATCAAGGGCAAGACTCAGCAGGTTTAAAATAAAATTATCAGCGAGAGATCATAAAATAATTACTAAAGACACAGAAGGACTATAAAAGAAAATACTCCTGAAGTCACAACAGAAAGGGCAAAAGTTAATATTTATAAAGATGATGACTAGGAATTTTCCAAAGTTGGCTTGGATTCAGGAGGCAAGACAAGCCCTCAGCGGATGGACAGAAATAAATCCACACAAGTAACACTGGAATGATCTGCACAAGGACACAAGCAAGTCAGAAACACTAAAACAGCCCACTGTGAGGGCACGTGGCTAGCCCCACGCGGGGCAGCAGGCGCCCAAGGCTGGAAACACACTGCTAGGGATTATAAAGTTATCTTGCATACAAATAAGGCTGGAGAGTAGTGGTGTCCTGGGAGATTATGTAGGGAATATTCTGAGGCCACATCTTGACTGGGTGGAAGGGCAAGAGGGGCCTGCTGGCGTCTCTGGATGATGTAGACTAGGAGTGGACGCTGTGGGACATGGGCCGTCCACCAACATTCTAAAAGTCATCAGTATAGAACCATCACCATGATAAGGTTTCCAGAAATATTTTACAGCAGTGCCAGGTTAATCTTCCTGAAGGACCCTGCAATCACACTGTGGTTCTGTTCAGCAGGGTTGAGTTAGTTGCTGCCAAATCAGTCTTGAACAAGCACTGAATAAGATCTAATGTATTTTTCCTCTTATCTTTGTTCATGCTCCTGCTTGGATTGAAGGGGAGGGACAGCAAAATGTACAGTGGCCTCCACAGGACAAGACTTAGCAGGTCACGTGGTTGCTTAGGCAGACTGCATTTGCACTTCCCAGCAGTGGGTCAGTGAGAACACACTCAGACACGCTCCAGTCATGTGATATGAATAGAAACAACCAGCACATCTTCCACATCTGCCTCTCCATCTTTCTTGCACTCCATTCCTCCTTTCTGGGGCCTGACCTGCGGGTGTGGAGCGGGCAGGTCAGCTTAACCATGCAGGTGAAGGGAAGATATCCCAGAGAATGGTAGAGCAAGAATTTTGAAGTGGTGATTCTGTACAACCCCGTGAAGCGAGATACCAGACCTCCCTACCTCTGTACCACTGTGGGGGGAAGAAAGAATCAGCTCACCACCATATTTTCAGTGTCCCAATAAATTAAATCTCTGCTATTGCAGTTCAGCCTACACCCCAAGCGATTCAGAGCACCTCTCTTTTAAAGACTCATAACCCAACTCTGGTGATTAACTCTATCTCCTACGGAGGAGATGCAATAGGACTCTGAAGCTATGCCACAAAATTGCACTTAATCCTGTATGACCATGTGTATCTGTGGTAGCTTTGTCTTCCTGAGGTGGCGCCCTGTGCTGGGCAGCCCTAACTAAGTTGGTCTGCTGTGATCTTCACTTCCGGCTTTAGGCCTGTGTCTAATCCTCTCTCCTACTACCTTGAGGGTGAGTGAGACTTGGTGTCTCCCTTCTGGGGACAGAGTGCAGCAAAACTGATTCTGAAATCAGGTCATTTATTAGGAGATTGTGGAGAAGTCTCAAGTGTCTGCTCCTGTCCTCTTGCCACCTGATATACTGCAAGGCAAAGAGATCCCCGTGGCAAGGAAATGAGGCAGGAAGTAGCCAGAGAGGATCTGGTGCCCTGAGCCTCACAACCTGTCCATCAACAACCACTTGAGAGCCTGGAAGCAGATTTACTGCCAGCCATGCCTTCAGATGGCCTGAAGTCCTGACCAATAAAATGGGTGGTCTTGCGAGATGCCTTGAGGGAGAGGCACCCAGCTCAGTGCATCTGGATTGCTAACCCACAGAAACCATGAAAGGTTCGTTTTAACTGCTAAGTTGGGGGCTAATTTGTTGTGCAGTGATAGCTAATAAAGGCGCAGATCTCCTATTTCTTCTCACACACACAGCACATACCGCCTACTAGGTACTCCAAGACAGTACTAGTCAGTACTGTGAAAGGTTCCCATTTGTGAGATTATGTACTGGTAACACAAATTCCTTTGAGGAGTAATTGGAGAGCCAGTTATATTTGAACAGCAGTAAAACGACACTAAAATTAAATTTCCTTAGGGTTAGACTGGAAGCAATTTAACACATCAGCTGAATAATCAGGCCAACCAGAATCTAAACGCAGTCATCAACATTCATGTTATAAATATATGTATAGAAAATAAGTTATTCCAAATGTATCGCAGAATTGATGGTCCATGCTGGCACTAGGAGGACACGAACAAAGGAGGATATTTGGGTAAGCTTATCAAAGAACAGCGTCCTAATAGCCAACAAGAACCATGAAGCTTAGAGTAGAAGTTACTACACACCATCTCAGATTTCAAATTCCACAGATTCGTTTGACAGACACATTTGTTTGGGGAAGTTTCAAGCACAGCAGACGCACAGGTGCGGTTTCGGTTACCTGTCTGATAGTGTCACCTTCCTGGTTACTGACTGTGACCATTTTATCTTCACCACCTAAAGCCAGCAGATTTTCTGCATTCCAACATCCACATGTGATTCTCTTAGTATGTTTTCCTGTAAAAGATGATTTTTGTAGACACGTGGATTTCTCAAAAAAAAAAAAAAAAACCTAAAAGACATATATATGTACATATATATACATAAAACCAAAAATCTCCAATCTGATATCAGCCTGAAAGTCCAATATACCACAGAAGTGAAACAGGTAGGGAATTTAAATTCTCATCAAAGCCATTAGTATCTAAGCAATCTTATTTAAAATAATGTATTACAAGTTGTAAAGCAGATTAATGGTTTAGAAAGGCAGGATATACTGTTTTCTGGCTTTTTATGTGGGCAGAAAAAGAACTCCACTGCTCAGGACATTTGTTTACCACACACCCAAACAATGATCCAAGTGAATTCCAATGCACTGAAGATGTCTGTGCGATCCTTCATCTGTGTAGTGACTAGAGGATGTGTAATGATCTGTGAGAATACTGAGGTGCAAATATGGACGCACCTTATTGAGACTTATTTGAAAAAACCCAGTCGCTTAGCTAGAGAGTGATATTGGATAACTCAAGTATCAGGAATCCATTTTATTGAGCAATCTAGCCAGTGTACAAACTACCTTTTGGGGCAACTGACAGGCTTCTCACTAAGGGCATCTGTTAAAGAACCCAGGCTGGGCAAAATACTTACGTCCTAAGGTTAATTAAGGATATAGATTCTGGGAGACAACTGTCTAGGTTTGAATCTCGCTCCACCACTAACTACAAAATGCTGGGTAAATTACTTAACCTATTTCTTAGTCACATCATGCATGCACTGTGGATAATTCCCAGTAGTAAGAACTGGGAATCAAATGAGTTAAAACACTTAGAATGCCAGGCAGACAGGAAGCGCTGTATATCCGAGCTGTTACTGAGAGAAGAACCCATGTCCATTTTATTCTTCATGTCCCCACAGACCCTGCAGAAGCATAAATTACGTAGACAGGCAGGAGTGTGCCTGGTGTGTCAGAGGCTTAACAGGAAGACAGTGGACTGCAGGAGAGGAAGTATGGAGACTTGGGCAGGAGATGAAGTCAAGGTGCCAGGCACTGGAGGGCTTGGCCAGCATACCGTCTCTGGCTATGACTTAAGCGGAGATAGAAAGTTGGTGGGAGATTTCTGAGTGCTAGACCCATTCCGACCTCCAGCTTGAGAATACGCTGTAGCTAGGGCCTCCCTGGTGGCACAAGGGGTTCAGTCGCAGCACTATGAAGCTAGCCTCAGCCTCTGTGGCATGAGTTCCATCCTGGCCAGGGGGCTGACCCACATGGCGCAGCAGACCTCTCCCGTCTTGTCCAAAGCTCCCCTCAGCAGATCTGCCTGTTCTATTCCCCACTCTGTCTCTGGTGAATACTTTTACCACCACCACCACCCCATACCTCTGGCCTGCACCCTGGCTCTTATATGCATAAATTAATAAATCTTTAAAAAATATATAGTTGGACAAAAGCTGAAGTGAGATTGGTTAAGGGTGCAGAAATTCAGAGTGTAGGTGAGCAACGCACACCACAGTGGCTGGGAGGTGGAGAGAACAGGTGACTCTGGGGCTATCTGGAGATAGTTTGCCTCCATTCTGGCAGCAGCTAACACAGAGTGTGAGAAAGAGTCCTCAGGGCGATGGTGCTAGGATTTAGCCCAAAGGCTTAAAAAAGCTGGGATCTCTTCAATGAGAGAGACAGCGCTGTGGGTCAAAGGGCCTTGAAGATACTCAAGTTGAAGTGTGTACTAGACTTAGGAGATGCTGAGAAGCACTCTGGATGTTTGAGCATGACCTTTGAAAGCGAAAAATATGGACGTTGTCTGTACAGCATTTCAAACCAGCCCAAAACAAATGTAAAGAGTAAATGTTCAGAGAAGAGATTGGGGGATTTATGAGAATCTGCTCACCACAGACGAAGGGATTTGAGTGGTACATTCTAACAGGTGTCCAAAGAAAACGGGCATGAGGAAGGGAAAAGGTTCACAAGGAAGGGAAAAGGTTCACAAAAAAAAGGTGGAAAGATACCAAAAGCAAACTTCTTTGCATACCGCTTTTCTACCTCCTTCCTGTACAACTCCAGGCCCTATGGAACTCCAGGCCTCAGAATGCGGGTTAGTCTTAACATCAGTGACAACAGTTATGTATTTTGTGAGCTCATTTAGTGTCGTGGGCACTTCACATGTGCTCACTCATTTTGTTAATATTAACTCAGGGTTAATAATTTGAACCACATTTCTGGGAGACTGGCAACATTTAGTCAAACTGCAGTAAATGTAATTCATGCAGCTCAGAACCACACAAAGTGAGAACTGCTTGTTTCTCGTCCTGTTCAAGGAAACAAATTGGCGCAAGATGAGACAAGCTGATATTCAGCTGCTGTGAACTGCTGACAGGTCATGCTACCACGTGGCCACCGGCAGAAGCAGACGGGTGTGAGCCCTGGATAGTAACTTAAAGGGGAAAAGCACAGTCACCCATTAGCTAACTACCAGAGGCGGGTTTATTTAAAGGACCTAAGACAAGTAACCCGAGTCTTCTCAGGCTCATTTTACACAGCTAGTAACACTGAGCAGAATCAACGTCCACATTCAATACACACATCACACATTGAACCATGTATACATGACAAATACCAGACAAAAGAATATCATTTCCATAAAGATCTCATATCTCAAGTGTCAGAATTTCTAGGGCTGAGAAGTTAACTCCAGGCCTTCCCACAGATGATGTGAGACATGTAAAATGCCCACTAAAGTCAAACAGACTAATTTGCGTGTTGATTGTTGATTTTTGTAACTGAACTCTTTAGTTTTAATTTCTCAGATGGATCAGTGACAGTTTTTTAGATGGAGCACTGTAATGTTAATATTAAAGATATGTAGGGTCCTCCCTGGTGGTACAACAGGTTAGGATGCAGCACTGCAAGCTGGCCCCTTAAGCTTCAATGAGAGTTCGATCCCAGGCCTGGAGGTGACCCACATGGCCTGGCAGACCTCTCCTGACCTGCCCACTGCTCCCCCCAGTAGTGTGTTTCAGTAGCTCTGCCTGTTCTGCTCCCCACTCTCTCTGGTGAATCCTCTCACCCCCTACCCTGGCCTGTACCCCAGTTCTTGTATGCATAAACAAATCTTTAAAAAAAAGTCTTATTTTTTTGCCTGAAGGCAAAAAAAATACATAGTTCACACTTAGACAAAACTGGTGTTTGAGAAAAGTGAGGGGTCAGAATTAGAGACCTGAATACACACTCTCCAAGTAGCCACCCAATGTTTCAGTGCATTCACTGACGTGTTGACATGTACATGGGTTAAATTTTTTTTTTAATGCATAAAGAACTGGGGTACAGGTCAGAGGTACAGGGGCGGTGAGAGGATTCACCAGAGACAGAATGGGGAGCAGAACAGGCAGATTGACTGAAATACACTGCTGCGGGGAGCAACCAGTGAGACAGGAGAGGTCTGCCGTGCCATGTGGGTCACCTCCGGGGCGGGGATCGAACTCACACTGAAGCAGCTGTGGCCAGCTTGCAGTGCTGCGATTTAACCTGCTGCACCACAAGGAAGGGCTGCACACGGGTTATTCTGTGTCTACAGGTATGACCTGGGTGAGAAAGACACACAGAAGCCAAGTTATAAATGCACTGGTGTTGCAGGGGCTCAGCCTGACATTAGTAACTTAGGCTCATACCTTAGTCTGTGTAGCTTGGGACATGTACTAGGCCATGAAGCAGCATCTTCTAGTTTAGCTCTCTGGGAGGCTTGACCACAGTCTCTACTACAAAATTTCCTTACAATCTCAGAGAACTCTGACACATTAACATTTACATTTATGTAACGCACTTCAAATATTCAGCAGTGTTGTCAGATATAAACTTACCGAGGACAGGAATCTTTCGTGATGTCTGACGATTATAAATAAGCAAATTTCCTTTAACAGTCCCAACAGCCAGCAAACTTCCAACTTTTGACCAAATAAGAAAAGACATTTGATCCCTGGAACATTAAGAAATAAATTACTAAACAAAATTCAGAACCATCATGTTTAAATAGTTCTTTCCATACCACGAATAATCTTAACATCTACTTAGAGACAAAATTACAACTTCATGCTTTAAGAACAAAGCGCTAAAGACATTCTGGAAACACTATGAGAGGACCTTACAGTCAATTAGACTTAAAACAAACGAATAGTGAATAATGGTTCAGTCATGAACCTCAAGCTTCACATGACATCATGAGAGTCGTTAATCTGCCTACTAAGGATGGTATTATCTGTAGAAGGAATTTTAAGAGATTATGTCACTGTGCTTTAAAACAAGAGTCCAATAACACGGCATGTTACATTGGAAAAATCACTGGGAATCCATGATCTTGAAAAGGACAAACGCCTTCTAGTGCTGTTACTAAGAGTAGCTCAGGGAAGGTGGAGAACCTCACCTGTCCCCTTTGCAGTCAGGACTGCAGGCCGCACTGGCATACAATCCCTTACTCAGGGACTCTGACTCCTTCTCAGCATTCTGGGCCAGAAACACATTTATTGGCCTGATCCATTGGCATCACTGGGAACTTACGTAGGTCCTAGTTTCCTATTGGAATGTGCGGGGCCTTCTCCAGGCCTTCCCTCCCGAGGGGAGGGTGATAGGTCTCAGTCCAGATATTGAGGAAAGGAATAAGGCGTGGAGAAAAGTCTTGAAAATGCTACCTCAACGCCAGTCCAGCTGGGGACTCTGGCAAGGCCAGTTCTCAGATCCTACCCCAGTTTTATGAAAGGAAAAACAAGTGGGCACTTAGTGGCTGTGCTCCTTCAGCTCTCTGGGCAACTCCAAGGAAGCTCAATGTTGAAAGCCACGGACAGATCATGCTGCCGTTTGCAGAAAGCAGCGCAGCCTTCTAGAATGATGAGGACATTAACAAAAGACAAAAGAGTAAAGGGAATCCCTCTGCCTAAATAGGCTAATTTGGACATCATAAATGGCATTTAATTGGAATAAGCTGCATGTGTGAATGACTGAAAGCATAAAACTGAAAAACAAGATCATTTAGAATACGTGAGAATTAGCTTTAATGATAGACACAGTATACAAGGTTTAGTTAGCAAATTCACTTTCATAAAAAAGTGTTATTATATTAAGTATATACTTAGAAAAGATAAACAGACATGTCTCTAGCATGTAAGCAGGTGTGGCAGCAAAACCAGGCCTCTCAGCAAGCGGGACTGACCACGGGCACAGCTGCACGGCTCCAGAACCCATCACCTCAATGCTCTGGGGCGACACCATCCAAGCTGCTCCACACAGACCTGTGCAGGGCAGGGAGAGTGAGGTAGTCCACTCCCAGGATAAGGGACTTAGGCTAATGATTGCTCCTGCTGTCTGCACGGCGAAGATGTTTCGACCAACCTTTCTCCCTCCCTCCTCTCCTTCACAGGGGTCAGCCACGCACTGAGGTCTGATGGCGCATCTAACTCCTTCTCCTTTCCCCTTATGTTCCCTCACAGGCATCCTGTAATAAATCTTGCATATTTCATCCTGTTTTGGAGTCTGCCTCTTGGAAAATATGAATAAAAAGAATGGGAATGAGTTAACAGTAGCAAGGATAAAGGAACACTTGCCAAGAACATGATGGGGGTGACTATAATAACACTGTGACATAAGTCCATACAACAGTGTTGCAAAACTAGGAAGAGGATTAGAATGCATTTTCCTAGAAGGTCAAGTCACTAAATGTCCTCAAAAGGGTTAACTGAACAGACTTACCACCCTCCTCTCAGGAGAGAAGGCCCCCCACATTACAGTAGGAAACTAGGACCTACGTAAGTTCCCATGATGCCAATGGACCAGGCCAATAGATGAGTCACATCTGTTTCTAGCCCAGAATACTGAAAGAATATTCTAGAAAGTACAATGAGCCACAATGCAACATGAACTATGTGAAAGGCGCAGGCTGACGTGGCAGTTGAAAGCCACCCTGTGAAGAGGCCGAGTATGACGACTGCTCAGATGGCGGCAGCCTGGGGAGTGTCCTGTGATACGACCAGCAGCCACGCGGCTGATGGAGATGTTGTATTTAGAATTTTCTCGGAAAGATCGCTGTGTCCTAGGTACATAGCTAAATGATCATTGCTTTAAGCCTAGGTAAATCCTAAGAAGGTGTAAAAATATACTTAATAAATTCAACCACCATTAACAATTTTAGGTAAGTGGCACTATAGGAAGTTTAGCAATAATGGTATCTGAGTATTTTTTGTGCACTATAGACAGTCTCTGAAGTGAAATGTAATTAAATTTGTAATGGAATTTTAATTGTTCAGAGGAAATTTAATTCAGCTTGCAAAATAAAAATATTTAACAAGCAATATTAAAAATGGTGTTTGTTGACTATTTTAGCATATTAGATTGACCGTTACATTTACCAAATGGTAACGGTCACACCTCTGCGTATACAAAAGTCCTCTAGGAATAGCAGTCAATGGTAAAGTGCTCTCAGTTTTACCTTGATGTTAATTATAGTAACAACATCTACCATTCACTCGGTTCTTAATTTTGTGCCTGGCCACAAGCAGCAGTTAAACCACCTGGAGATGGTGTGAGGAAATAATCTGAGGGGAGATAAGGCAGCGGGAGCAGAGCTACATCAGAGACACCTGAATGAGCATTTTCTCTGGGTGAGACATGGCCTTGCTGATGCAGAGTTGAACTCAAGAACTTCTTTATGAACGTTCTCCTGAACAGAAGCACGAGCAGTACAGAAAATCTTTCTGAAAAGTGATGTGTGCCCAGAAATGACAGAGCAAGGAAGGCAGTTTCTCAGGCCTAGAAACTGCAGTGGGCAGGCGACACACCTGTGTGTGCGTGCCTGGTGTCTCTGTGGGTTCAAGGTGAGGTTTGGCTCTCTCCTCCATGGCACCTTGCTCCTCGTGTTCAGTTCTCCCCTGGTAAATTAACTGAAGAATGAAAGTCTAATCCTGCAGTATGTGTGATCCCTTCCTGCTCACCTGGGGCCCCAGGATGCCATGAGGGAGGTGTTGTTTTGCCCCTCCCCTCTTTCAAATAGGAATGAGACTGAGGTTTAGAGTTGAAGCAGTTTGCTGAAGGTCAAAATTGCGAAGTCTCACAATTACGACATATTTTCCTTTTCTATATGGCAACATGGTTCTGCTTTAGCAGAGATCTGTAATTTATTCTGCCTGCCCTTGGGAACAGCCCCACCCTCACCCAACCTCCACCTGCTGGGAGTATCAATGCCCTCCTGACCCCACTGGGGACCTCTGGAAGAGCTGAGCAGCTAGGGATGCTCTCTCTGGCATCACTTGTGAAGAAAGATATTAAGCTAACAGCTGCCAGTAGCCCCAGAGAGTCTGACATAGGATGAAGCCAATACAGAGAACGAAGACCCCAGAGGGGCAGAAAACAGTGTTGGCAGAGTTACCGGAAGCCCTGTGTACCCAGCCCTGGCTTCTGGCAGATTCCCCCATCTATGTCTTGTCTCATTTTAGTTTCATCAAAAGCAACTTCTTAACAAGCTATTTGTAATTTGCAATTGTAATAATTTTATTCTATAATGAGACAAGATGTAGATGGGTGAAATGAACAGAATTATCTATAATAAAGAACTTTTTCTTCTTTAAGAAAATTACTCATCAAGGGCCTCTCTGGTGTTGTAGGGGTTAAGTTTCGGCACTATCAACCATGAAGGACTGAGTTCAAGCCCCAGATAGGGAGGTGACCCACATGGCGCAGCAGACCTGTCTTGCCCACTGCTCCCCTCAGCAGTGTATTTCAGTAGAGCTGCTTGTTCTACTCCCCACTCTGTTTCTGGTGAATCCTCTCACTGCCCCTGCACCTCTGGCCTGTACCCCAGTTCTTGCATGCATTAAATAATCTTAAAAAAGAAAATTACTCATCAATGTATCTATATAAAATAGAACTACTATTAGCATTAAGCCTACAAATAATCATGATTCTAAGTGAAGATTTAAAAAAAAGTTACCCTTACCTCATGCCACTGTCCAGCTGGCTGGTTTTATTTGTGTTGGCATCCCATAGATAAATGCAACTAGATTTCTCAGCAATCACTGCTAGGATATCTCCATCCTTATCCCAATCCATAGCAACACAGTTACTTTTAAGAAAGAGCACAACATCATTATACTTTTCTTAAAAGGTAAAAAAAGTGTTTATTTTTTAAAACAATTACAATATTAATTTTTCCCACCATCCCAGGCAAGACTGACACCAAGCTGATCTCCCCTTTATAATGTTATCTTCTGCAACAGAAACTGGGACAGATACACAAGTATAGACCATGAATGGGTGGGAGTGGCAGGGAAACAGGGGATGGGGGGAGAGGAGGGGTGTGTGTAGGTGTGTGGTGGCAGCAAGAAATTTATATTTATGAATTTTAAAACTATGTCATCTATTTTGAGCAGGTCATAAAATTTCTAGAGTAAGAAATACAACTCACTATTCATTGCTTGGATAATATGAACTTCAATTTTTGTTGTTGAAAGATAGAAAAATTTAAATTCTATTTTTGCTATATACTATGTTAAATAAATTTAAACAGATTTTCTGGAATCAAATAATTCAAGCCTTGGGTAAACATTAATCTAGCTCATTTACAAATGAACACATCTGGAATCAGATGTGATTAATTAAGTTATTTAGATGAACAGATAAGACAGTGATAAATGAAGTTAAGTCTAGATAGCCGAGTTTCAAACGGATTAAGGCTCTATTTCCAATGTTTCTTACTGTAAAATTATTCAAAGTATTATACAATTTAAAAACTTCCTTGAAGATTGAGCCTTTTCTCTCTACTGTTTTTCATTTGAGATTTCTTTGTTATTGGCTAAGTCATACTCAGACTTACATTAAAAACATCTGGGAACCATTTCAATTTTTCTCTTTGTCAAACTCTTTTATCTTGACATTAACAGCATTTTAATCATCTGGAAACCTATGTCAGTTGAATTCAACTGAGTAAGACCACTCTAGACCCAAGATAGATGTCACAGAAATCAAGTGAAAAGACTCAGTTTACTCAAAGTTTTACTACTTTTGTCTTTTTTCCAGACATGATTATAACTACCTTGACCTGTTCCATGGAATAGAAACCAGGAGCAACAAATTAGAGAAAGCAATGGAGTGCCAAAATGGTGGCACAGCAGGAGGGAAAGGTGGCTAGAGCCGGAGAGAAAACAATCTGATTGCAAAGACAGTGAGGACAGTTGACAGCAGAAAGCAGACAGGCCCTGAGAGAGCAGACAGAAAGCATGGCAGCATAAACCCACTCATGTGAGGGGCTCTGTAGACCTTGGGCTGCAGTAAAATAACTTGTAAAGGTAATGATGACACTGAATCACTAAAAATACTTCAATGATGCTTGGTATCATGTAGAATGACTTCCAGAAAATGAATAAAGTATTTGTCCTTTAAGATACAGAAAGTAACAATTCTCCAGCAGTTAGAGAAACACTATGAAAATACAGGTTTATCTTGTCTGCTGCAATACATGTAAGGCTTGTTTATAATTAAGAATTCTTTCATATAGACTGATTTTAAATATTGCTTTAAAGCTTTCCTGTGAATCTATGGGTGTTATGATGTAAACTCTACCTCTCGCCATTAACATATTGCTTTAATTTACGATGTAAAAAACCAGATCCCTTTGCCAATGGAGAAAGTGAAAGGAGGCACAGGTTGTACCCAGCATTGTCAGGTTCTTTGAGTAGTTTTAAGACAATACTTTATCTTTTTAGGTATCAAAGTCTGAAAAAGTACTTACCCAGGCAAGTTAATTTCACTTCTTTTTTTACCATGGCGATCAAAGATTTTCACAGCATGATCAGCTCTAAAAGCAATTGGAACACAGAACTGTGATTTAAATATTTCCTTTTATCTCCCTATGCGAGAGATGCCCCAGACTGCCATCCAAATGATTTCAGCGTGCTCATCATAGTCTCAATTTGTCTCTGGAAAGTCATTACCAGTAAAACAGTTTTCTGAATTGTGATCTTAATGGCAATGAACATATCCCTCTTCCCACCAACGAGCCACCACATAAAAACTTCTATTGCACAGATCTGTGCTCATAGGGCCTACAACCCTCTGGAGTGAGGGTGATTTTAAACTTTCACTGGCTTCTTACCCTGATATTGCAAGGTAATTTCCTGATGTTTTTTGCCAGATAAATTGAATTGGTGCTCCAAGCCAAGTCTTTTCTGTCAGTGAGAGGATACGCTAAAAAACAACACACACAAATTTTTATATTTTTAAATACTTAAAAACTTCAATTTGTTAAAAAATGAACACATTTTGTATTTTATATGATCAAAATATATAATTGCTCAAACATAAAGAATATCAGAACATTATCATGAAATAGGCTTCAGGGTGGTAAGGGCAGTTAAGAATTTATCTAAAAGAATTCAACAAATAAAATGACTAATCAGCCATCCAAACAACCACAAATTGGTTGGTTAGGATGTACAGCAATAGACAGACCATTTACATAAAGTTTGTGCTTTTGAATATTAATTTGCTAAAAATATGCAGTCTTAGGTTCAAGATAATTTCACTACTATCAGTATTAAATATAACAAAAGTGCTACTTAAACGATCTTAGGACAGAAATCTATGAAATACACAAAACAGCTATACTTCCTTGTCTTCCTTTTCCCATTAGTTATGTTTACTTCATTAAACGTTGGCAATGGTGGGCAATATGATGAAAACCCCTTCTTTTTTCATGTAGACACTCTTGGAACTGTGGAGTCCAACATGGAAGTCAAGCCACATAGTGTCTTGAAATGGGGGTAGACAGAATTTAGGTAGAAAAGGCCACAAATCCATGGATAATTTTTTTATACCAATCTTTAAAAATTTTAACGTGGCTTCACAAATGTGGCTTGTGTTTCATTTATATCAAACAATGCTGCTCTGTATCTCAGAACACAGTCTGAAAGAACAAATTTAGGCTTTAAATTAGACTAAGTTACAGATTAGACAAGATGCCCAATGCAGGCATCAATAGAAGCTACCTCAGGTGGCTTGACCGTTGAAATGGAAAGAAAACCACTTCAAAGTGCAAAATAAAGCATCAACTAACAAGCAAGTGTTAAAAAGAGATAACGATGTTCACCTGCATTGAAAACAGGCTGCTTTAGTTACAGATGTGTAAGAATGGAAAAGCCTTTTTTTTTTTCCTTCAATTTTCTGACCACATTGCCCTGGAATGTGGCAAGTAAGGTATCCTTAAACTTGAATTCTGTTAACATCCCAGCCGACCTTCTCTGGCTGTAACCTTACATGATTTGTCTTCAGTGGAGTCTACACAGATGCTCCACGTACAGGTGCAGTGCACAAGGTGCCAGCTTCGCAACCAAGGTTTCCATTTTGCTTTTTGCTTATTAGCTCTAGAAAGCAAATCGCATCAATTGCGCCAAACACATAGTTCTCAACAGTAAGTCAGGAGTAATAATACCTCTTCCTTGTTGATAACTCATAAACTGAAGCGCTTTAGAAATGGGAGTTATGACTACAGACCTGGCAATTCCAACTTCCATCCTAATAACCAGGAGGAAGAGTTAGGATGTATTAAAAATTTTTAAAAACCATTTAGCTTTCTGTATCTGATTGTAGAGTAGAGGGTACTGCCAGGGTAAAGCAGAGTGGGTAAACCCAGCGACCCGGGAGAGAGGGTTCACGAGACGCCCACG